CGGCGATGGGGTGATAGAAAAGGAGGCGAGGAGACCGCGAGGCAGCGAGGACCGTGAGAGTGGAGTTAGGGGTAGGAGAGGAGATGGGAGGAGAGGAAGGAAGGGGGGAAAGTTTGGGAAAAAAGAGGATTGGCCAGAGACTGAGAGAGGTGACCAAGGGGCAAGAGGAGGAGGAGAGAGGCAGCCAAGGGAGTGGAAGAGGAGGGAAGGTGGTTAGAGTTGAGGGTAGGTGGTTAGAGACGAGAGGAGTCATGAAGGTAGGAGAAGCAGGGGGAGAGGTGGAGATGGGGTGAGAGGAAGTGAAGGGGTGAAGGCAGGGAGGAGGTCGGGAGTGGAGAGCGTAGAAGAGCAGAGAAGAAGGAAGAAAAGAGATGCGAGGAATAAAGGGAAGAGGGGGAAGTTAGGACAAGGGCAAAGGAATGAAAGGGAAAAAGAATGGTGTGGGAGGAGGTGAAGGGGAGGAGGTGAGAAAGGATGGAAAGAAAGCACGGTGGGTGATGGAGAGAGAAAAGGAAATGAAGGGGATGATGAGTGGATGGGAAGGAGAAGCAAAGGGAAGGTAGAGAGAGAAAGAGAGACAGTTTTTCGTGTGCACTCTCCAAACGGGATTTCTCCCTGCTGTTGGCAAGACACACCCCTTCCGCACAAGCCTCCTGTCTGCGTAGCAGAGCTGACCCCTGGCATCTAGTATGGAGACCCTCTGTGCATCTAGTGCCAGCCCTGTGCACAGTGCAGCCAGGAAGAGCCACCCCAAGTGCATAGCCCTCTGGAGTGCATCCGTTTATTCTCATAACCTTGTGGTTCCTCCCCGTGCAGTACACCAGGGCAAGGGGGCTTGGGGTAATGTCTGACAGAAGCAGAAACAGAGATCGCCAGTGTTATACAGCTGCAAATGAGTATACGAAGACAGATCCTCTGGCCCTAGGGCACCTTCCCCCCATCCCACACCAGTGATATCACAACACCACTGGTGATGCCCCTTGGAGCCCTTTCTTTTACACTGCCATCCTCCCCCCCTCTCCCAATTGGGGCCATGGTGCTTTGGGCTCATGCAAGAACATGTATTTCTTGGAAACCACAGAAACTTCCCATGCAGGCATGTTCAAAAATGCTCAGGTCTCAGTTCAAACATCTCAGGGAGGCCCTCCCTGACCACCCTGTTTATTTATTTATTTTTAATTGATTTCACAGAGGAAGGTAGAGGGAGAGAGAGATAGAAACATCAATGATGAGAGAATCATTGGTCAGCTGCCTCCTGCACACCCCGCACTGGGGATCGAGCCCACAACCCAGGCATATGCCCTTGACCGGAATTGAACCCTCGACCTTTCGGTCCGCAGGCGGATGCTCTATCCACTGAGCCAAGCTGGCTAGGGCCTGACCACCCTGTTTAAATAGCCACCTCTCCTGCTGGCCCCTGTGGCTCAGTTGTTTACTAAGCATCCTCCCATGCGTGGCCAGGTCACTGGGTTCAATTTCCGGTCAGGGCACACGCTCAGGTTACAGACTGGATCCCCAGTGGGGGGCATGCTCAGGTTACAGACTCCATCCCCTGTGGGAGGCATGCAGAAGGCAGCTGAATGATGATGTTTCTCTCTTTCCTTCTCCCTTCCTTTCTAAAAAAATCAATAAAAGCATATATATTTTTAAAAAGTGCAAAGCCACAT